AAGGTGGTGGGTTCAAATCCAGCCCGGGCCCGCCAAACAACGAAAGCTGCAACCAAAAAATGGCTGGGCGTTGTGGCAGGCGCCTGTGGTCCCAGGTACTTGGGAGGCAGAGGCAGGAGACTCGCTTGAGCCCAGGAATTGGAGGTTACTGTGAGCTGTGATGCCACGGTACTCTACGCAGAGGAACCTTGAGGCTCTATCTCAAAAAAAAAAAACAAATAAATAAATTATAAAAAAATAAAAAGCTCATAACAGAAATCTTGTGTTGAAACGAGAGAGAGAAGACATGTACTGGTCTTTGCATTTTACTTCTTAACTCTTGGCTTCGATTCTAGTTATCACATTTTAATGGCAATACTGACCTAAAATGGATGATATCTTCTTTTCTGTTCTTTTAGCACCTGTTTGCAAACCTCTTTTATATTACTTATCACTTTTATATAATAACTGTCTCTATGTCTGTCTCTTTACCACCTCCCTCCTCCAAAACTATGAGCTTTTTGGGCCGGGCGCAGTGGCTCACATCTATAATTGTAACATTCTGGGAGGCAGATGGATTGGTTAAGCTCAGGAGCTCAAGACCAGCCTAAGCAAGACCCCATCTTTACTAATAGAAAAATTAGCTAGGGTGTGATGGTGGGCACCTGTAGTCCCAGATACTTGGGAGGCTGAGACAAGACAATTGCTTGAGCCCAAGAGTTTGAGATTGCTATAAGCTATGATGACACCATGGCATTCTACCTAGGGTGACAGAGTACTCTGAGATTGGTCTCAAAAAAAAAAAATTTTTTTTTCAGGCGGCGTCTGTGGCTCAAAGGAGTGGGGCGCCGGCCCCATATACTAGAGGTGGTGGGTTCAAACCCAACCCCAGCCAAAAAAGAAAATTCAAAACTATGAGCTTTTTGAGGAATAAAGACTCTTTCAACTAGTATCTGTAATACTAAGCAATATCTGGCTATTGTAGATACTCAAGAATGTTCCTGAATAGGGCGCCACTTGTGGCTCAGTGGGTAGGGCGCCCGCCCCATATACCAAGGGTGGTGGGTTCAAACCCAGCCCCGGGGAAACTGCAACAGAAAACTAGCCCTGCATTCTGGCGGGCACCTGTGGTCCCAGCTACTCGGGAGGCTGAGGCAAGAGAATCTCCTAAGCCCAGGAGTTGGAGGTTGCCGTGAGCTGTGATGCCACAGCACTCTACCGAGGGCAGTAAAGTGAGACTCTGTCTCTACAAAAAAAAAAAAAAAAAAAAAAAGCCCGGCATTGTAGCGGGCACCTGTAGTCCCAGCTACTCAGGAGGCTGAGGTAAGAGAATCGTCTAAGCCTAGGAGTTGGAGGTTGCTGTGAGCTGTGATGTCACAGCACTCTACCCAGGGAGACAGCTTGAGGCTGTCTCAAAAAAAAAAAAAAAAATAGGTCCAAGAACAAAATAAGCTGCCTTGTGTTATATCACTGTTAATGTTCAAAGTCTGAATGTGCACTTATCCAGGTACTAGATGAAAGCTTGGCCTAAAGAACTGAAAAATACCACGTTTCTTAAGTCTTACGAGTCTGATCTATAAAACCTAAGTTTTAAACCTCCTTAATTCAGTTTCTCCAGGATATCAGGGGAAATTCCCTTTTCCCCCAATCAATTGATGCCCTTATCTTGGTAATTAAAACTCAGTAAACACGTGAACATTCTGTTGATTCCTGTGAGGGAGGGTGGTGAGCAGACAGAAGAAGGAAAAACAAAGAAAGCCAGCTGCTATTCAAAGTTAGCAGCGTGCAGGAACCGGCCCCAGCCAACCCAAACACAGCAACAACGCAAAGAGTCGGCTCCTCTGGGAGCTGGAATCGCATCTACGTGGCGAACCAATGTCAGTGCCGAGGCCGCCCCAGTGCGGCCCCTCCTGGGAAAACGTCCCCAAATGGGGTCCTGACCGTGCTTTCCGCACCGGCTCAAGTCTCCACGCCCAACTAGACACCTTTCAACTAGGGACTACTTCCCTCCGTCCAGCGCCCAGCGCCCACCCTCTGACCCGACCCCCTCATCCCGGACTTCTTCACCCCGGCGTCCCAGCCCCCGCCTATCTCTTCCCGTCCCACCGCGCCCGACCCAATACCCTCACAAGCCGGCCTGATCCCGCGGAAACTCGGCTTCTGCACCACCGGAAGTCAACTAACGGCAGCGACTGACGTGCGCGCCCCCGAGTCGCGGTACGCCGCGCCTCGGGGTGACAAGGAGCATGCGCCAAACACTTAGGCGCCATCCTATCTAAGGACCTTCCGAAGCCGGAGCCAGTGTGTCAGTTACTGGCAAAAAATTTAAAGGCAAATTTACTTCTCTCTCTCTGTTATTGGAACTATCTTAACTCAAAACCCGAAGGTTGAGGTTCACTGGTTTCGATTGACAACTCGAATATTTCTCGACAAAGGGCCAAGAAAATGGAGAATTCCTAAGATTTCATAAAGAGAAATCTGTAGGTTTCTAAATAAAGCTAAGGCAGTCTTGACTTATGCTATCGTAATCATTAACATATGTATAATACTCTAAAGTTTACAAAATGCTCTCACATTATCTTAAGTGAATTGGCCTTCACAACAAATCCTGTGCGACAATGGATATTATTTATATCATCCTCCAGTCTGCACAACACAAAGTTCTGGCTCAGCTAAAGAGGTTATTTTACAAAGGTATGCAGCCATCAAGAGAAATCAAGTATCGGGTATCCTAACTTCAGCTTCTCATACATTGACCCAGTGCCCAGGAAGGTGCCTGGCGCTAATTGATGCTCAATAATTCAATACATGTTTTTTGTTTGTTTGTTTGACAGAGTCTCACTTTGTCACCTTCGGTAGAGTGCTGTGGCATCACAGCTCACAGCAACCTCAAACTCTTGGGCCCAAGAGATTCTCTTGCCTCAGCCTCCTAAGTAGCTGGAACCACAGGCGCCCGCCACAGCGCTCGGCTATTTTTTGTTGCAGTTGTCTTTGTTTTTTTAGCAGACCGGGGCCAGGGGTCGAACCCACCAGCCTCTGTGCGTGTGGCTGGCGCCCTAACCACTGTGCTGCGGGCGCCAAGCCCAATACATGTTTTTGAATTAATGAATAAATTACTCCTAAAACCATGTTCTTTCCAGTTTTCTAGAAGGACATAACGTTAAAGATGGAAAAATACATTTAGTTCCCTCACTGGTGAACCACTAACAATACTTATGCATTTGAATTAATCCTGCATGTAAACAGAATCCCACAGGATAAAAGTATCCACAGCAAAAGTATTTAAAAATAAAGGGTGTTAGCTCCGCGCCTGTGGCTCAAGCGGCTAAGGCGCCAGCCACATACACCTAAGGTGGCGGGTTCGAATCCCCAG